CTCGTGGGCCTTGCCACGAACGAGAAGGTCAGCAGACATGGCTGTTGATGGTGCTGGAAGGAGTGTGGGAGTGTCGTTGGTGGGACAATTCAATGACTCAATGAACTGTCGGCAACAATGCCTTTGGGAGCGGCAACAACAGTCAGGAACTGGATAAAGGCAGGACCAACAGCAAAAGCACCAGGCAAACAGAACTGGGGCTGGAGCTGGACAAAGCAAGGACTCACAACAGCAGGACAGCAACTGGAAGGGAAGCAACAACTGGGAGGCAGGCAACTGGGAGGCAACAAGAGGCAGGATGCAGTGGTCCAAATCAGGGAAGGCTTGTGTGGAAGCTTTCAGGATTGGGATTATGACCTCATAGTGTTGCACTGCATAGCCTGGAATGGGAGGAACCAGGGCCACCACCACAGTAGCTCAGGCTTGTACTGTTGCTGTAGGATTGCACAGGGCTTGAACCCAATCCAAGCATCCAAAAGGCTACCAGCCAGGTAGCTTTGAACTGGGGATCCACTGCAATGAGTCAACCTCAATCTCTGACACAAGTGCCTGGTCAGGTACCATGCTGTCAGGATATCCATGCAAGGGTGCGGTGTGGCTTGGTATTGGGTGGTGTGGAACAGTTGGACTGAGCACCAACCAAAGCCACCACCTGTCTCGTCGCGCAACAAGTCATCGGTGGGTGGAAGACTTAGGGGGCGGGACAAAGACTTAGAGGGCAAAGTCAAAGACTTAGAGGCCCCCAACTCCTTTTCAAGCATCGACTTCGCGCGGTGGACTTTTCATGCATCGACTTAAAAAGTTTCGAAAGCACGGATGAAAACACGTCATGTTGGTGACGTCATCACCGAATGACGTCAGGCGGAATCTGGATTTTTAAAGCGGGGGTGACGGTCAAAGACATAGGGGACCGCCAATCATGCCAGGAGCACGAGACTTAGGGGCCGATCAGTCAAAGACTTAGGGGCTGATCCAGCTTTCGTTGTTGTTGTGAAAATCGCGAAAAACGCGACCACGACCATGGCCCTGGAGTCGGGACGCACGGCAACAACGGCAGGGTACACTCCAAGACCAGTAGGCCGAGGAGGGGAGTAGAAGCACCAGTTGGTGTCACTCAAGAGGGGAGACGAAGCACCAGTTGGTGTCGCTCAAGAGGGGAGTCGAAGCACCAGTTGGTGTCGCTCAAGAGGGGAGTGAAGCACCAGTTGGTGTCGCTCAAGATGTGCTAGAGAAGCACCAGTCGGTGAACTCATCATTGCGGTGTGGCTAGCGAAACACCAGATGGTGAACGCATCATGGCCGAGGTGGCTAGCCGAAGCATCATGGCCGGAGGATCGTTCGGTCATCGTGAAGCACACGAAAAAGACTGACCGATCGATCGATTGTTCAGCTAATAACAGAGCTCCTGCAACCGGACCAACGGCCGATGGTAGGAGCAGCAGCAGTAGTAGTAGCAATGCAGCATTGCGGTAGCCACGGCCGAAGCCATTCAGTCAAAAGAAAGAAACAAAAGAAAAGGACGCCATTGTCCTCTTCGATTGGTGGCTACATGCAATGTGTGGCTTGGATTGGCTCCTACCGACTGATCATCCCCTTGAAAACCCTAACTCTATCTACGGTGACGTACCAGTCCAGGCAGGAGCAAGTGTGCTTCCACATTGCTCTGCTTAGAGTCATGGCGATAGGACTTTTAAAAAGCATGTACAGTCGTACAGAGCTCGTACGGTACCAGGTACAGCCACATACAATGAACACAAAGCATTCGGTTTGGGAAGGGAGCAGAAGGTTTCTTGAAGTTGATCACCATGTCATAAATAATGATCCCGCACAATCCCAAATAAATCCAAATCTCGCAAACCATCATCATGCTCACCGTGTCATCCTTTGCTCGAGCCTATGTTGGACTCGAGATAGATAGAAACTTGGCAGAGGGTTCCCTGGGAGGTTAGGTGACAGTCTTGGTGACAGTTACTCCACATGCCGTTGCTATTTTCAAGCTAACTGGTTGGGGTGTTGTTGCTGTGCTGGAGCAAAACCTTGTTGGCATGCCCATTGAAACTTTAAGCGTGCGCTGCTGTTTCTAGTAAGGCAACATATTGGTCTCTAAATCAACCTTGACTAGTATGGTATCTTCATCTGGCCATGTCGGAATGAGTTAGTTATTCAGAGGTAAGGAGGGCAGTGGAGCCAACACTGGGTGAGTCCTTCCTCTACTATTTGCTTCGTTGGCGCCTGACTCGTTCACCGATTCAGCAAACACAAAATTTGGGCTCTTGTTCTAGTTTTTGGCAATCTCAAACGACATCGAGCGAGATTCAACCTTGTATTTCTTGGCGGTGGCCGCCTTGGCGACCAGCTCGTTCATCACAGTATTGTCTCCAATTCCACGGACAGAGATCTTTCCACTGGGCATGTTGGTTGCAAGGACAACATGGCATGAAGTGCTACCTAGTACCAACTAAACGTGGCTATGTACTAGACTATACCATAACCCTAACCAAATTCTGGGTGATCTTCATGTCTGCCGGCTTCTGCATGTCTTGGCGCATGGCGCGCTTAACTTCTCCACAATTCAGCGTGGGAGGCCAGCCGTTGGCAGAATTGTCGCAATTGCAATGGTTGCGGCCACCAATTTTAATAATTAATTAACGTACCTGGTAAGTGCGGAAAGTTCCGGTTTTTGGTGAGGTCATCTATCTACTCTAGACTACTGCATAGATCTAGAGTAGCAGACTAACGTCGTCATCATTTCTTATGATTCCGCAAAGAGTGAAAATGATGCAGAGTGCGTGTGCTCTTGACTCTTGACACCTCCCTGGTGCGTGCGTGAGATCGTCCTATCAAGTCGAGACTTGAAGATGATGAACCACCAATGATCTCGAGATCCATTTACTAGCTAGACTAGCTAGACTACCGTTCGTACGCTGATATCCGCTTGACTCGACTCGTTGCATCATGATACCGGATCGCATAATTTTATGATTAGGAAAACAAACCCAACAAGGACCTATCCCTTTCTGCCTTGTTGATTGGTTGTGGCATGCGTATCTTGGCCACTTTGCGAGAAAGGAACCTAAGTTACCTAAGAACGACAGCAGTCAAAGCGAAAAAGGCCAAACCTTTCATTGCCCGCTTGAATCATGATGTTGCTGTTCAGCTGGACTATTACATGTCTCCCCAGTTCGGGGGTATTGCCTCCGCCTTGGTAAACAACCGCTACGAACAAGCCGGCCTTGGCCAAGTCAAGTTTCTTCCCACGTGTCCTCCTGGGCTCGAACAAGAGCGAGTGCGTAACCATGCCAACTCTTCTTCTCCCAGCGCGGTCACTCTTGGAACTGTGGAACAGAACATTTTCATTCCCACGCTTCTAAACCAACCCGAGCTGAACACAACCGCTGTGGGTGCCATGTTTCGAACCTCTCCCTTGTGTGTGGCATCGCTGCGTCCACTCGAACCCGGAATGACCATTGGAGCCCACAGCGACACGGTCGAGTTGTTGCAACGAATCTTTCCACAATGCAAGGTCATTGCTTCGCCTAGAAGTACCAAAAATGCAGACTTGCAAAGTGGAAAAGTCGATGCTATTCAAGCCTACACAACCACCGAAGTTCCAACTTTGGAACGACTCCTGAACGACAAAGTGTGTGTCACCACCTTGGAAGGGCATGGCCACACGAAACTTGGCTATTCGCAGCTTATCTTTGCAGCCAATGAATGCTTGACCGACGATCGGCGCGAAATTACGCAAGCGTTTTTGGAGGCAACCTTTCAGGGATGGAAGGACGTCATTCAGGATCCACACCAGGGCGTCAAAGCGGTACAGGAGGCACAAAAGATGTTGAAGCATTTGGACGATGAAGGGAACGATCACTGGTATCCTTCAGAAGAGTTCCAGTTGGAAATGTTGCAGCTTTGTAATGCCCAAGTCAAGCAGACGTTCCAGGGCGATCGCTATGGAGTCATTGCCCCTCGTCGATGGAACCAGGCAACAGACTGGCTTTTGGATATCAGCAACGCGTCGCCAGACGACGATACTAATTTCGCTTTGGACACTACCATTTGGCAGCCTCCGTCGTCTCAGTTGGCAGGTGGTGAACTGGGATATCGACTCATGGAGGATGCCAAGGCATCCGCCGAGTTCTTTCTCAAAACCCATGGGCGAAAGCCGTCGCTCGCTGTTATTACAGTGGGAGAACTGAAGCGCTATACCCACGCCCAGAAACGTCTACAACTGTACTCCGATCCCGCCAAAAGTTGGTTTGCAAAGACTGCAACTGGAGAAGCAAACGGATTTGAAGTGGACGAGATCTTTCTTGATGATTCCATCACAACTGACGAACTATTGAGTCAGATCTACAAGCTTCAGAAAGATGATAATCTAGATGGAATCCAGCTCATGTGGCCTCTGCCAGATCATATTGATACGGCCAGAGTATTCAATGCAATCGATCTGGCCCGAGATGTGGATGGAATTCATTTCGTGGGCCAGTCCGAGGTCGGCAGTTCAGATCCGTTCGCTCCAGTAACGCCTGCGGCCGCCATGGAGCTGCTGAAAGAAAACGATATCAACGTCAAAGGGAAGCGGGCACTTGTGATTGGACGAAGCCCGATTGTAGGATCTCCAATGGCGCATTTGTTACGTGAGCAAGGCGCTGTTGTCACAGTGGCCCACTCCGAGACAACACCTAGCCTAATGGAGAAGCTTGTTGGAGAAGTCGATATTATTGTGACGGCAGCAGGAGAACCGGGCCTGATTCCAGCAGAGTGGATCCCAGGTTCGGCTACTGTTGTGAACATCGGTGCAACTTTCGACGAGGAAACAGACTCTTTGGTCTCTGACGTTGCCGGAGATCTCTCCACGGTGGGTTGTCGCTACAGTCCCGTTCCAGGAGGTATTGGCCCTTTGAGTGTGCCTATTTTGTTCCAAAACACTGCCAAGGCGGCATGGAAACGTGTCAGCGATGTTTCGTCGCATGTGAGCCAAACATGGACCAAGACTCCAGCATCGATCCGCAAATCCTTTCACTTTCCCACATACACCGCAGCCCTCGAGTTCGCGGACAAAGTCAATGAAATGAGTGACATCATGGATCATCATGCCAACATGACTTTTTCGCATCAATGTGTGGATGGAGTCGATGTCGTTATGGAATTTTTTACCTTTGACGCCAACGAACTAACCGAAAAGGACTATGATGCAGCAAGGGTCGTGGAATTGGTGTATGGTGAGAATGCTATCAATGTGAGTAAAGTTTGTGAGTAAACGTATTTAGTTCAGTTACTTTTGCTAAATTCGTGTGCGAATGCTATTAATCAAGATGGCCGACTTCACCTATGATTTGAAGGAGTCTTCTATTGCCGTCTATCCAGCGGATCCTCGAGGTTCATCGAAGCTTCTCCACCTGAGTTCGAATGGACAAGTCAAGCACTATGCGACATTTTCCGAAACGTTTACTAAGATTCTCCCGAAAGGCGCCCATATCATCTTCAACGAAAGCCGTGTGTTGGATGCCAGGCTTTTTGTGGAGGGAGCTGGAGAAGACTCTGTGGAGCTTATGATTTTGGACCTGGGAAGCGTGAAACTTGACGTTCCTTGCACAGAAGTTGCCCTCACGGCTATGCTCCGCGTCGAAAGTGTGGACGAAGGCGACGTTGTAAAGGACAAGATCACAGGTACCAAAATTGTAGTTGAGAAAGTTCTTGGGTAAGGTCTGTCGCTAGTTGGCTGAAGCGTACTCTCTTGCACGCACTTACACGCGCTCCTCTTGTTTCTATAGTGTTTGGAAAGAAGACGAGAAAAGCGACGGAAATGGAATGGAGTGCATTGTGCGCATCCATTCGGACGATTCCGTCGACAAGTTTCTCGACAACGCTGGCTCCACGCCTATCCCTCCTTATTTTCAGCGGGAAGCGGAAGCCTCAGATAAGGAGGCATACAACAATGTATACGCTTCCACCGGAGGTTCCGTCGCGGCTCCCACTGCTGGATTGCACTTTACGGAACCAGTCCTGGAGTCCATTGGCGCTGACAACATTTCATATGTTACCCTTCATGTCGGTGCCGGAACTTTTCAGCCGGTTGTAGCGAGTGATGCGCGTGACCATGCCATGCATGCCGAAAGCTTTTGTGTGTCGGTCCATGAGATTAAACGCATTGTCGCAGCTTCCAAGGCTGGCAAGCCTCTAGTTGTGGTAGGAACGACGCCCACCTTCCCAGACAGGGAATGAAGAGATTCTACAGAACGGAGAGTATGAGTTAACAGGGAGCCGACCATAAGGGAGACTGACGGACAGGAATCCGGGAGAGCCACTCATCCTTGGA